TAAAAATCTAAAAAAAATAAAAAATGACAAAATATATATTGATAAAACCTTGACAGCAGAAAGTGAGCTCTCCCCGCAGCTATCGCAGAGGACTCCATCGAAATCCAGAGCATACAAATCCCCCATTACTGTGTATTTAATTTATTATATCAAGAAAAACTGAAATATAAAATGGAAAAATAAAAAAGAAGAAGAAATTGCAGATAACATTCTGTCTGTTACCCGCCACACGTAAATGGGACTAAGATATGGACCTTCGTGGGCTAATTCTCTGTGGGCTTAAAAAAACAAAGCCTTCTCCATCAGATTTTTTAGGTAATTAAAATTTGTATTGTTTTTGTGTAATTTAATTAGGTAATTAAAATTATAATCACTTATTGGGATGTTTTATTCAAATATAAAATTTGATAAATTTTATTTCACCAATAAAATTATAAATCTCAATTTGAAAGAGCATTTTTTTCATCGTAAAAACCAACCTAGATCAACTTTAATACAATTACTAGTACAACACCCGTATATTACACGGGTGTTTGTTAAAAAGTTATTCTTAAGTTTTAAAATTAATGAGAAAACTATATTAAATTTAGTTTATTTTTTTACAAAAAAAAAAATTATTACTATATATTTTAAAATGATATGTGTTACTTACGACTTACATGTGTTATATTATATTAGTTTTTATAACTTATATCATATAACTACTTGAAATATAAATATATTAGTTGATAAGTAATTTATTTTTATAACTAATATTAAAAACAATTTTATTATAGTTATAAAGATAAATATAAATTATTTTTTTATACATACAATATGGATGTTAAATCGAAGCTCATCAAAAAAGATTAATTTGATATATTACATATGTAAAACTGATAAAAAATAAAAAAGTTATTAATTTTGAAATATATATACAATTCAATAGTTATCTATATATATAAAAAGATTTACCATTTTTCAAAAATAGCAGGTCAAACTATAGTCAAAATTCATTTGCATTAATTACATACCACTTTTAGTAATTTTTATTTGTTTTTTTTTTTTGCAAAAAATCGAGCATCATAAATGGAGCCCTTAAATCATGGTAGTTGTTAATTTAGTTTGGAGAAAATCATGGCAAATAAACAAACAGCATTAATGACGGCTAATTTAGTATTTAAATAGTAAAACAAATTATCTTTGTTTATGGCTTATTTAAATTTACATTTGATTTAAATTAAAAAAAAAAACTACATTTGTAATTTCAAAAATTTGTACACTTTTAATGTACGAGTGATTTAAAATTAAGAATTTACTTTTGTATTTTTACAAAAAATCGTATAAAGAAGTATGGCTGAAATAATAATAAAAAATTAATTTGTTAAACCATATTTTGCACTCATAGGTACGAATTCTCATCAAATTCAAAATTTAAAATTGTGAAGAATGTATATAGATGCAGACTGATTGAAGATATATGTGATTCTTTAAATTAAAGAATTTTTTCAGGTTAAAAACAAAAAAATATAAACTTTAAATATATATTTTATTAATAGTGTATACCAAAGAATACTATTACATTTAAAATTCATATTACGAATAATTCTGTTAATTTTCAAATTCAACATCTCATAAAAATAAAATAATACACTTTTACATACTATGAAACAATATTTAAAACCCCCGTGCAACAACATACATAAAATGTAAAATTACCTAACATGAATCATTTTAATTTTCTAAAATATGTACACAATTTGCTCGGTATGCACTGATATTAAGAGTTAATATTTGCTATACATTTATTGGTTGGATAGAATTCCATTGTGTATGGATTTTGAAATAAAACACAGATTCTCAAAATCAAATCTGATTTGGAGATCGATTTCTTAATGACCTTAAATTATGCAAATATATTGTTTCAGTTTTTGGGATTCTTTTTTATGATTTCAACATTTACATTATATGAAATAAACAATAAAAACCGTCGTACAACAACATACATACATACATACATACATACATACATACATACATACATACATACATACATAATATCTATATCTATATAATAAGAATTACCATTTTTAAAAAATGGCAGGTCAACTGCAGGTCAAATCCGGTCAGCATTAAATACTTACCAGTTTGGTTAAGTTTTTTTGCCTGTAAAATCGGCCATCGTTTAATGCTGCCCATAATTTGTGGGATTACCAATGTGTCATACCCAATCTGTAACTGCTTATCTATTTTTCGTATGAAAAATAATTTATTCAAAGGGATTGTGAATCGTTTTTCATTTTGAAACGATAAACACGGGAAAATGTCACAGAAATAAATATCGACTCGGTGGTTTGAGGAAAACCCTAAAAAAGGGGAATTGTCGCCTTTTATAGGTGAAGTTGATCCTGTTGACCAAATTTAAACTGTCTGATGTGGTATATACATATATATGTTTATGGGCTAGATACATTCACATAAATGTATATTGGGCCAATTTTATGGGACATTTTTAAAGGTGTGAAAGTTTTTATTTAATGTATGTGGACCACCTATTACGACATGGAAAAATAGGCCCATTGGACCGAACATATGGGTTAATTATTAATGTCCAAAAATTTAATAGTATTGGGCCAAAATTAAATTAGTGTCAGATTTTGTTTGGTTGTCATGCTGTGATGGTCTCTAAAATTATTGTTAGTGTTCTTTCACTTTACAACTGTTTAAATTAAAGAAAATACTAATTGTTCACAGTATTACTAAAAATAATTATTTATATATTTTTGTTTTTAATGATATGTTCAATAATAAAATTGACTTTTATTGAATTTTTTAGAAATATAATGAGTCATCGTCCCATCGTAATGACTAATACAAAAAAACAACAAAAACTGGTACGTAATTTTTTGGAGATTCAAGGACAATCACACTTATATACGAAAAACATTTTTTATTAGTATAAATGATTCTACATATAATATATTAAATTATAGACTACTAATATGCTCGAGTTTAACGTGATGACTTAATGGTAATCCGAACCTAATTACTTTTTGTTTGGAATTAAATTAAAATTTACTCAAGCCTAATAACGAAACATGTAATTTTGCCACATATGATTCCAACATCATAGTTATAGTATTATTTAAGGAACTTGAAACAACATTGTTAAATATTTACGTCCACCCATAATTTTTTTACAAGTCGCAGGTAATTAATCCCGTTATTTTTTTTATTTGTTTGTTTGTTCAATCTTTTTGACAAAACTGATATCATGGATAAAAAAATTTAATATTAAATCAATTAATTAAATAATATAAAATAATCTGCTTTAGACAAATATAGGATGCGGATAATCCTCTCATACCAAACAACGCGATTTTAAAATTGACCCAGATCCAACAATCCTATCCAATATTTCATATAAATAAATATTAAATAAAATACTTTAAACATAAATTAAATAAGGAATTTTGAATCTGCCTTTTTTTTTAGTATAATAGGCTTTACGTACATTTTTTGACTTCACCGATTATGGGATTTGTTTTGACTAAATCGATGTTATTATGGAATAAGATAAATAAATAAAGTCTTTTTTTAGTAAAGATTTTACGTACTTTTTTTTTTTACTTATTGGATGTTATGAGATTTTTTTTTCTTAAGCCGGTTTTTATTTTAGTAAAAATTTTAAATAATAACTAATATAATTTTATTATCTAACCATCAATAAAATTATTTAATGATGTGATCATTATTTTTTAAATGATAAATAATATTATTTTTTAAAAAAATATTAGTTTTATATAATTAAATAAAGGTTAAAAAATATTACTCGACAAATATTAATTATAATGGATATCAGTAAAA